TAATTGTTCGACCAAAGAGACTATTATTTAACAATTTGTAAAAGTCTTTTTCGAAATCAGTTTTAGCACATTTGCGTTTTTCAATATTAAAATTAATATAGGGCGCAAGCCATTTAGACTGTCTAAATTTTAAAACTCTATGGTATTTTGTAACAATCAAACCTAATTCCTCATATTTTTGTAATGCTTTATAATGTAAAATATATTTAGTTTTGTCATTTAAATTTGGTATTAATTTGCCATTCATTTTCTCAGGTGCTAATGGATAGTCATTATGTAAATCATGTAAGCTTTTATCATATTTTAAATCAACTTCTAAAATGTATCCAAACTCATCATTTTGATTGTATTTGTAGTCTATCTCATTAGTCCAACGGAATCCATCCACAGGCAGTGGCTCGCACATTGCTGTAGAGTATAGTGAGTTACAGTCTAAATATATTAAATAGACACTCTCTTGATTGGGATCATAGTGTTCACCCATATATCTATTATTTGCTTTAGCGTAACGTGTAGAAATCATACTGACTCCTCCTCTAATCGCACTTTCTATGAACAAATGCATGTCAATATCTTGAAATAATTGTAATTTTATACCAGTCATTCTAAGACAGGCCTCCCATGTAAGTCCAGGAAGTGAATACATATGTACGGGGTCAAGTTTGTAATCTTTTAAGCACAGGTCTCTAAAAGTCTCAAAGACATCAGCCAGTAGCAATACATCTGTTTTAAGATATAAATCATGATATTCTTGTAAATTATTTATATTAAAATGTGTCCATACATTTTTAGCATGTTCATATTCATTGGGAGAGATATGTTCTTTAGTTAGAGTACTATAAAATGTCTCAATTGGGGGTAGAGACTCTGCAAACTTATCTGGTCCCGTCATATATTCATAGGGAAATACACCTTTACGTTGTAGTAGTGGATTTTGTATGAATCTAAATGTGTTTAAATTGGAAGCCAATTTATATAATGGAAGGGACAGAAAGTTGTATGAATCTAAAAATACTAAATCATCTACAGAGAATGATATATATTTTTCCATATCTTTAGCTATGCAATTTAATTTACGATTAAACTTTCCCAAGTGTTGCATTATTAAATGCCCATCGTAATTTTTCAAGTTATGGAAGAATACTGGTATTTTCTTTGTTACTTTATAGTTTAAATTACAATCATTGTGGGCAGCTCCACGGTATCGACCAGAGGAATGGCAATGATCTCTCACCCTATCAAAATATAGGGGCTTTTCACAAATATGACAATGTGTTGAGTTTTTGAAAGATACCTCTTGCTCAGGAGTCATTTGAAGAGGAATATATATTGCCATTTGATTTTTAATATAATCATAAGTCTCAAACAACCTTTCGAAAAACACATCCATAACATTTGCACCACTATATAACTCTTCAGAAATAATTTTCGAATCTTTTACTATGACAAATGCAAATCCCGATGGAATATGGTTGTTTGAGTTTATAAAACATTCAAAATCTGCATAAATTACATATGGGGCTTTAAGTTGATATTTATAATTTTTAAATTGTAATGTATCTTGTTTAGACATTTCCACTCGTTGGGCATCAAAGTTTTTACAATATATTGTGTGGCGTTCTAATATATCGTTAGTGTAAAAATGTTGCAAACACAACTTGCAAAAATGTTTCTTATGGTCATATTTTGTAGACCGCAGCATTAACTTATCAAAATCACGAATTAAACAGTAATGTGATTTACGACCTTCTTGTAATAACAATAAATCGATGTGGGTATTACTATTCAGTTTGGTTGTTCTTAATGGATATACACATTTCTGGCCTTCAACTCCAAATACATTAACACTTATATTATTTTGTATTTCAAATTTATCTATATCAGATATTTTCACAGGATACTTTATGTTTGTCATATTCAACTGATTTTCATAGGGTGTATAGTTTGAGACCCTTTCAGCATGTTCATTAAAGTTCCTTGGGTATAAAGCTGCTAAAATTGACCAAAGAAAGCATTTATTGTCAGAATTCTTTATATTTAAAACAGCATGTTTTGATTGAATACTTTTTGGTGTGGGGATATATGACTTTGGAGTTAGGGGCTTATACTTGTAAACATGCAACTGCCAATATTTAGTATGGTCATATATCCATCCACTGCCTTGGGCTTGATATTTGTGTATGGAAGCATCAATCTTTAAAAGTGCATTTTCAATTTGAGGCTTTAAATCTCTCTTCTCAATAGTTAAGGTAGTAAGACTTCTAAAATCTGCTATACATTCTTTCTCATTAACTAATTTTCCATTTTGATCCATTGAATATTTTATAAATTTAATTCTCCTTACTAAAGTCCATTTTATTGGCAGAGGACAAGACTTGAGAGTATTTTCAAGTTCAGCTCTAATTGATTCACCAACAAATTTCATCATTGTGTATGGACATTTGTTACAAGAATTGACATGTCTTCTAAAATGTCCAACAACATTTTTCTTACAAAAATTACAACTCTTGTGACTTTGTAATATATGCGATTTTAGAGCCAAGTTATTATCACAGATTAAATCACAAACCTTGCACAGTTTCACATTCATTTGATGCATTACCTTATAGTGACGAATCAGGTTGCTTTTGGTGGAGAGCGACACGGAGCAGTGTTGACATGACGGCTTCATGTTTAGGAATGAGGTCTCGGGCTGATGCCACCTCTATATATAGACTTTTGGGAAATTTCCAAATTTTTATAAAATTATAAATTTTAAAAATTTTAATTTATAAAATTATAAATTTAGAAAATTTTAATTTATAAAATTATAAATTTAGAAAATTTTCATTTATAAAATTATAAATTTAGAAAATTTTAATTTATAAAATTTAACTTTAGACATTTTAATTTATAAAATTTAACTTTAGACATTTTAATTTATAAAATTTAACTTTAACATTTTTAATTTACAAAATTTAACTTTAAACATTTTGAAATTTATAAATTTTTTTTTTTAATTAAGAAATTACTTCAACAGGAGGTTTCCCACCCAGGACTCAATCAAGAGCTACCACTAGAGACAAGGAGCAAGAAGCAGGAGCTTGCCCGTGAGCCAGGGGCGCGCCATGAGCCGGGAGCACGGCCGAGTTCGCGTACAAACCTCGCACTGTCAAGTTGATGATTTTGAGAATATACATGTGAATGGGTGTTGGAGATGGATTTGAAATTATACAATATAGATATGGAGTTGTACATTTATATAGGCTTGTATAGGCCCAAGAGTAAGTTTAAGAGGTATATCCCAAAAGACAAAGAAATGAAAATATTAAACAACTCATACAACTAATATATATAGATAAGACAGAAATATAGACTACAACATATCAACATATCAACTAGAAAGGGGAATGTTAGATGTACTAGCAATTAGGCATGGGCGGGGAGTTGGCTCAAAAACCTCGCGCCCCAAAAAACGGCAGCGACAAACTATACTACTATACATATACACATGCATGGGTCAATAATTTTTTTTTGCTTAATATCAAATATATATATAGGGAATAAGTAAGAAATAAGGTTTAACAATTATATAGGGATATTCAGGCAAAGATCAGGATTTTTGGAATTGGTGGCCAAAAAATGATCCCCATGTTATTCTTATGGGGAAAACGTGCCTAAAGTGGGGTATCTTTGCTAGTTCACCACTACTTATTCCACTTGCGATTAAAATAATCCTTTATGTCGTTTTTAATCTCACTTGGATGGGATTTGCCTTCAAAACGTGATCGAAAATGGTTGTGGTGTTTGTAAACAACATTTGTAAACATTTCAGTGACAGCTAGAAAAAATAATCTTGATCCGAACAGCTGTTCGTTGTTTCATAGATGATTATGTGATACAAATTGGAAGAAAACTTGACAAAAATCGCACAAAACTGCATTTTTGAACGTTCGTAATTTTAATTACAAAGTAGTGAGACCATATTTTAATACCTAAAGACACTCTCGCCAATCCAGTGAATACATTAAAATGACTTGGGTCTTGATAGGTACTCTCGTTTTCCTGGAGAAGATTGCGTAAAATGCCATCTTGAGTGTGTCAGACAGACAGACAGACAGACAGACAGAAATTTAGATGAGACTTGTTTCGGCTTCTTTAATGTATAAAACGTAAAAATAACCTAAAAATGTATGATTCTGAGCAATGTACAGACAAAACTCTAATTTTATTTATATAGATTCATACTCTGTTTGTTTAGTCAGCAGTTGTTCCAACTCACGATACTCAATTGATATTAGTTCGCAACTCAAACTCTGAAACACTGTTATCAGTAAACTTTTGTTGTTGGTGAACTCTAGATACGTTTCAATTGTTATCAATAAACTGATAAATTCGTGTAACAGTTCAAACAATCACAGCCAAAACATTTACTTCATTTGGGTTTGGTTTTTCAAATGTATTCAATACCGTTCTATTTCTTTACTAAGTCTAAAGCATTGAAAGTTTGGCGTTTAGGTTTGTAGCCGGATTTTCCCCTAAAGCAATATTTATAGCTTGTATAGCTTTATAGCTTTGTTTACCTTTTGTAATATGTACGTACATAACTCTAACGGAAAATGTTTATTGATATGTACATTCTTTGGTTCGTTCAATCATGGTGAATGGGTTTATCTGCTGGGTGTATTTTTTTATGAAGCGAACCATGCAACTAAGCTGAAAGTGTACTCAAATTTATATCACCGTATGGGTCTATTTATGTTGTCAAAATCACTTCAGGATATGGAGTGACCCCGAGTACTTCAAAGTGTTGATACTTTTGGAGCTACTTTTTTGGAGCTTTTGGAGCCCATATCGGTTGGTCTTTATGGAAGCAAAATATCAAAATATTTATATTAAGTCTGTGTGATGCATTTTAATTCAGCTTGGATTCCGATCAATTTATTAATGGCTCAGCTCATTGAATGATACCAAAGATTATTGTTTTCCTATGGATAACCTCTGCTTTAATTGTTCTGATATAGTGTTTATTAATAGAACATATTAACAGAGCAATTAGTTATCAATAATTGTACAGTCGGGGTCTGTTATCCTCAGTATCTTCACTCTAGGAGTCATATAGTTGTGGAATACCCCGTAGTCGATTATCTTCTTGGCTAGATCTTGAAGCTCCTTCTCTGGATATGAAACTGGAAGCGATAAAGTTAATCAAAGCCTTGTCGCTAGTTATTTTACAAACCATTAAAAAGTATTTGTTTTATTACTATCCAAAAGTAATATATTTATTCAAATACTTGGTATGTTTATTTTACAAACAGTTATGAGCTTTGCCTCTATCAGAATATTATGTTTAAGCTAAACGTGAATGCATTTGAGATTAAGATGGCTCTGTCACAGATTTTGTGAAAGAAATAAGCTTTTCTGACAAGGATATAAAGTTACAATTCAATGATCGTGGTCAGTTGAGTTTGGCACCAAACCACTAAAATAATATTGACTTTTCCTAAGCTAGAACTGACCATTTCCTAATTGATGGTCGATTAATTTGATCCAAATACTTACGATTCCATTCTACTTTGTTTTTAATTTGGCATTATTTGTCAACGTGTTTTACAAATGTACATTAAAATAGAAATATACTGAAAATGTTATCCTAATTAAGACGATACGTGGTTTCACATTATCAACTATCAATTATCAATCATTGAGATGGGGACGCCACTTAGGTAAGTCTCTAAACCCAAACATGGTTGAAGGATGAGTGTAAAATTGTGTGAGATTATCTTTGTAGCTTTGTTGCTGACTAAGATCAGCTGTTTCATTTGCCAGGATCATTTATTTCAAGTCTATCAGAACAACAACTGGGTCCAGTTTTGAAGAAAAATTAGAAGAAGAAAAAGAATAAGAAGAAGAAGAAGGAGGAGAAGAAGAATAAGAAGAAGTGATTAAGTTAGCTATATTGCTAAATAACAGTTAGTAGAAGCTTGACATTCAATGATGAAATACTTATGTAGCACTGTACTAACAATACAAGTACTTAAACAAGAATAAATCTGATGGCTCATCAGTGTACTTCTTTGTCTGAAATTGTTGTATGATCTAAGACCCATACATAAACTTAACTCATCTTTTTACAACTAATCTACACACTCACTAGTGTAATTTCCCAGGTAAGCTATATCCAGACATTTCTTGTGGAGGTGCCGTAGTTCAGGAGGTTTCCAACAGTCGGCGTACCAGCCAGCTCCCTCGTAGATGCGCTCGTCGGAGCCGATCAAGAAGCTGTAGGACACATGTCACTTGTCAACTCACTGCGGAAGGAACAAATCAACAAAAATTTAATTTAGTTTGGATCATTTTCAGTTTGTAAGTTTTATGAGGTGCTGCATGGCTTGGGGGAAAAGAGTGTTTTGAGGATGTTTAAGCTCAACAACATTAAGACAATAATAGGTTTTTTACATACCTCAGTCAAATAGTCCAAAAATGATATTGCTCAACAGCTTACATGTTTCGTTTCGAAGACAACATTTTCAAAGCTTACAACTGGTCAAAATGTTGTCTTCGAAACGAAACATGTAAGCTGTTAAGCAATATTATTTTTGGACTATTTGACTGAGGTATGTAAAAAACCTATTATTTGTCTATTATTGTCCAGGGGCCGAAAACATGAATTTTGATTCAACAACATTACCTGTTCCTATGAAAGAATGGGATTCAAGTGTACATTGTTTCTCAGGGAGAGCTCATCAAACTTGAAAATCCCCTGGGTTTTGACTTTTAGAGTCTTATGACTGCTCTCAACTGCACATAAGTTCCTTTAACACATTCATCATCGAAATATTTGATTTAAAAAATAGGTAACATGTTAACCAATTAAATACAAATACTTTTACTAAGACTAATCCTTTGTCCTTCCATGTGTTTACAAAGAGCATTTTAATCCGTTGCCCTTTCTGAAAACCTTTTTACAGGTTTATTAGGTACATATAACCATTATATAACTTAGTCATAACTCTTATCCTTTAACCTTACGTGTTCCAATACACACTTCCTGCTTCTCTGGCCGAAGAACTTCTTCAGCCAATTAAATCAACGACCTTTTATAGCTCTTCTATACGTTTATTCTTTACATATTTACATGAGCAGTATTTTGTAATATTCTATCCGACTCAGGAATACATTACGAATTAATTACAACTACTTTTAGAAAATTTGACCACCATCTTCAACAGCCGGGTAAGTAAGTTTCCTATAACTGTTTTGTTCTGCCATAGAAACTCTCTTATACTAATGATCTTTTCACACATCTTAGAAAAACACGATGAACTCTCATATGCTATGTTACCACCTTAGCTCTTCACCATCTCAAGAACCTGTTTTACCAAATGAATAAGAATTCAAACCACACCTCGTTTATGGTGTTTAGTGGGTTATTGGGGAAACTTTCATCACAATTAGTAAAATAAGTGTCACGACGCTCTGGAATCTGATTCTATCCTAAGGGTAGAAGAAGAAAGTACGTAAAATGAACTAACATAATTATTGAACAAACCCAGGATAATCTAGAAAATTACATAGAATAACCACAAAGGAAACTGTATAGTTAACAGAACAACATGGAAAAACAAGATGAAACCTGAAATAATTCTAGGATAAAGCAAAGGTGGATACTAACTATGGGCACGTCTTCACAACACCCCACCTTTAGCTGGATTTTTTTTACGATCTAGTAATGTTTTGGTCTTTTCCCACCTGAGTACGGGATTTGAATCCAAACCCCGAAACGTTATGAAAACTTGTATTACTAATCATGATGTACAATCACTTCAACACCAAAATCCATCACCACACCGATAACAAAATTGAACTTCAAAGTATCCTTCTCTTCTCCATATACTCACTTGAACTGTATATCCACTTTGTTCTGTTCCATGTGCGCTCTCTGGATCCGTCGCATCCACCTGCTACAGTCCACCTGGTTGAAACACTCAAACGTGTATGTGTGTGAGTACCTGACAATGCTGATGGGATGTTCCAGCTGAGGACCGTTAGGAAGCGGTGGTTTTCCTTCCCACTCCTCCCGAGTGACCAGGTTCAACACTGGTTCCTCTTTGGTTTTCGTGTACACTGTTAAAGGATTTTTAAATTTAGGTCCAAACACATTTTTGTACTGTAGTAAAAAGAGATGAAGCAATACTATTTCACTTAAGTCACATTTAATTTTTATCAATCTCAAATCAACTCTCTTGTAAAATGGCGTTTGCCGTGCATGTAATAAATAAATAAATAAATACTCCATCGCGGACGGTGACTCCACTTAGGTATGTCTTTAAACCAAAATATGGGTGAAGGATGATAAAATTGTGTGAGAGGATCTGTGTAGCTTTGTTACTGACTAATATCAGCTGTGTAGGTATAAAGCAGTCTTTTTATCCCTAGGGTTAAAATGTATCAGCTGAAGTCTAGGAGATATGCTTTACATTTTCATGGCGTTCGTAAAAATCTTCCTTTCATTTTGTCAAAAAAATAGTCCCGAAGACAAAAGTTCTGTTACATTCTTACTGAATTCTTTTACCTATAGTTGTGTCACGTTGTTTATTCGAGAGGAAAGAATTTAGTTATACAAATAAACTCGTCTGCCTTAAAAAATAAGGTTTCCAATGGCACAGAAAGATATACACTTCGTATGATCATAACAGTTAAACATTACAGTATACTGGTAAATCCCCCTTTTTGACTAATCAAATTAAAATGATGCTTTTTTAAGTAGCTAATATGAGTTTCAATTTATTATTGTACTAGTGGCATATAGGGAAGTCACTAAAAAGCTAAGATGTAAGACAAATTATTGTTATATTTAAACAAACAAAGAATAAATTATCTTTCACATACCTTTTATAGGCATTTTCACTCCACTATATCGTTTTGTAATATTTCATATAATACAAACTTTTAAAGTATATGGCAAATCCACTAGGACGCGAATACTTTCAATGAAACACAGACGGTAAAACAATACAAACAACCCATATCCAATCACTAAGTAAAGTAATATAAACAAACTGAATCAGACATTACGATAACACTCGCGCGTGATAACACAACATTTTTTTAGTTTTAATGCCGAACTTGAACTAACCGAGTTAGCACTTCAAAAAGACAAAACTTTATCAAAACCATTGTAAATTATGTATTTGAAATCGTTAAACTTGCTATATGGTTAATAAAACTCACTAACATTTATTTCATGTTATGTATGGATATTGGTATTACATTTTATCTGCTATGTTTTACCGGTTTAGTATTTATAGTCTTGTCAACAATGACAAAACTTCCTCAAATTTTGGAAATGCCCAGGATTTGAACACGACTTCACTGAACTAAAAGTAAACACTGTACCTATACTTAAGTTTACAAACTATACAAAGATTGATGAAAACTAAACGTTTGAGCACCCAATAGTAATAGAAGTTCATTTCAATAAAACGCCCAAATTCAATAACTTAATTCAATTTATAAACCCAAATTCAGGGCCTTCACATAATCTTACCTAAATGCTAAAATGATTATAATCCTCTCCCCTAATGAGAGCCTGTTTTCAAACACCTTCCACACTGCCTTATCTTACCCACTGAGTCCAGATCAAATACACTGAACTACCTAACAGTCAGATCCTCACAACAAGTTATTTCAAACGTCACGCGAAATTACCCATAAAATTACCTAAGCCAATATATAGGTCTGAAACTAGGTTTGTAAACTAAGTTAACAATAAAATAAATGTATGCTTTCCCGATATTATGTATAACAAACATTCAATGGATAGCAGTGATCTATTAGGTACAATGGGAACAGGTTAGTAAAGTTTTCCTATAACATTTCTTCCAACTGAATTTCACTAAATGTGAAGGTGAATTTTTACCGAGCTGCAGAAATAATTTATGTTGTTGTATTTTATAAAATATTAAGTTTTATTTACAAGATTATAATATTCCTAAAGTGCTAGTTTAAAAAGAAGCTGAGTTCATATTACAACGTATATGAGTTATAAATTCAACGTGTTCATGGTTGTCACAGAACACGATTTTAATATGAATTGTCTTAATCTATATAAATAAAATTAGAGTTTTGTCTGTACATTGCTCAGAATTATATATTTTTAGGTTATTTTTACAGACACATCGTTTCTTAAAATCCGTCCATTATTAACAGAGGAGTAGTGTTTTGTGGAAATCACCTTCACGTATTATATACAGGGTGTTTTTTTAAAAACTTGCATCTTTATTTATGTAAAAACCGCAATAGATAGAAATATGCAGTTTGCGGGAATCATCTATTGACGAAGGGGGCCCAATTGTTTTGAATTCTACGTTACATTCACATTCCCCCCCTTTCCACCCCCACCCCCAACTTAATTTTTTTAAATAGCAAGGTACCCCTTGTGACATATCAAATGAAAGAGCATGAAAAAAGAAAATTTTTGTTGAAAACAAAATTAAAATCGGCTCATGAATTTGTGAGATAATCCCCCCCTTTTCCCCTACCCATAACTTGTTTTTTAATAGAAAGGTACCCGCCCTTGTGACATATCAAATGAAAAATAAATTTCACCAAACATTTTCTTTTTACATGCTCTTCCATTTGATATGTCACAAGGGGTATCTTGCTATTAAAAAAAATAGAGTTCCGGGGAGGGGGAGGGGGAAATATCTCGCAAATTTATGAACCGATTTTCAATTTTTTTTCATCAAACATTTTCTTTTTTCATGCTCTTTCATTTGATATGTCACAAGAGGTACCTTGCTATTTAAAAAAATTAAGTTGGGGGCAGGGGGGGAAAGGGGGAGAATGTGAATGTAACGTAGAATTCAAAACAATTGGGCCCCCTACGTCAATAGATGATTCCCGCAAATTGCATATTTCTATCTATTGCAGGTTTTACATAAATAAAGATGCAAGTTTTTAAAAAAACACCCTGTATAAGGATAACTTGTGATGACCAGCATGGACAAAAAAGATATGAGGCAGAAATAACAATAAAAGGTTGTTATGAAAGGGAATGGTCAACCCCTAACGTTGTTACTACCGAACGTTGTTTTGAACTGTTGTTAAAAGCATAATTGAGTGATAGCCCGATTCAACGATAACTTGGATCAAAATTGGACCTACAGAATAAAACTGATAATTTCCATATTTTAACGCTAGTATTTACTTTTACATTATTTTGTTACTGTTGTTGTTGTTGCTTGTTTTTTTTTTTTTTTTTTTATCTTGTTGTTCTGTTAAAATCAAATTCACATCTTTAGTTTCTATTGATAACATTCTCATAGAAATGTTACAACTAGTAAAACGTTAGTAAGGTCATTACAGTTGTCAATTGGGTTTTCATGATCTATCACATAATTACTGCTGTAATTAGGAATATAAAAAGTAATTTACAACGGATTTATGTTAATCCGTAAACTCTGTACAGTATCATCTGATTTCACACTGTTCAGTACGGTATTGACAAACTCAACTAGATTCTGAGGATAAATATATTTTTCCAACAATCACTACTTATCCATATTAAATCAAGTGTATTGAATAACTAAAGCTTAAATGCATAACCGATTCACATTTAACATTAGCATTTTTTTACCTCAAAAGCTTTCAAGAAAATAATTTATTCAAATCAGATTGTCAAGTGGTATGTTATAAATTCCTGTTAACTTTGAACATTCACAAGCACAAACGTAAAGGACCGTTTCTTTTAAGAGTATAAAAGTTTACTGAAACTTGTGCTCACTTTTCCATTACAACTTTCTGGTTTTGAGTGACATTTCTTACCTTTTAGCTATATAATCCTTATGACTTTTAAATCAACATTTGCGAGATACAAAGAATTCGAAATCTTAAAATCAACTATAAATCGTGTATGTAGAGGAAAATTCATTGTTTTAAAGGTTACATGGGTAAACGTTACTTCTGCCAACGGTGCAAAAACACTTGACATACGACGGTTTGCTGCCAACTCAAAAGGTTATCGAGTTTAACAAGTTCTAATGACAGGACCCGGAGCAACAATGCAACAATGTGTTTATACTTCAAACTAATGTTATTAACAAGTTATAACAATACTTAGCGTATTGCCTATATTTTTAACCGACTTCCCCACTACCAACAAAAGGAGGAGGTTCTCAATTTGTTTGTGGCGATGTTTTTTTTTTCTATGTATGTTCACCAATTACTCTGTGATTCTTTTACCGATCAGTGTGGTTCCACCACCAAAATAACCAGGAGAGTTTCTATTTGGTACCTTATATATTATGTTTAAGTATAATATTTGTTTCGGTGAAAAATTCTGAAAACCTTAAATATTCAACATTTATTTTGTTTACATTTGTGCAGATTGTTTACATTTGTGCAGAGAAGGCAATAAATAATAATAATATTCCTACAGCTGTTAGTTGAAACCATTTAAATGAAGCTACAAACAAAACAGTTGCTTCATATTGATCAATAAACTATTTCTTGCCATGGAGCCTAAATGAATTACATTGAGAAAAATGCATTTTGTTTTGGTTACTATAAAAAATGTATTTTAACGTTTGACCTGATTTGTGTATACAGTAATTCTGTTTTTATTAGTATTGAATATTCTGACTTACAAAAACATATCTGTTTCAGTAAATAGCTGTCTGATATTGACAAATAAAGGTGTATTGTGAAAACTAAAGCATTCGTAAAACAGGTCTAAATATAAATTAAATGCAATTATTCCTTACACGACCTAAGAAGTGTGACAGTGCATAATCGTCAATTGTCTTAAAAGTGTTAAATATTTTAATTACTAAACATGCATTTGCAGATATGGAATGTTTATTGATATTCTCTACCCAGTTACTATATTATATCAATACTATTATGCCTGCTTCGGAAAGTCCTAGAGGAAAATGATTTGCAATTTCGACTAGGCTATATCTTGAGCAAACAAAACCCCCTACATGACTTACACCACTTTTAGCTGAACCAATCTTTCATATAATATTTTCCAAAGGTACTATACGTATTAACGACCAATTTTCCACTTTTGAGAGATTTTTTAGTGCTGGTGGCTGAGGAATAACTTTCATATTGTTCCAAAAGGCTTGAGATGTTACTGTATTTCTTTTTATAATGTAGAAGTACACCGACTGCAGGAAACGATGATGTCTGACATTTCAATGTATCTAGAAAAGACAATTAGTTTTTCATTAGGCCTAATGTAATGGACAACTCTTTCTTTCTTAAGGAATTTATAAAAATGTTTATTTTCATACCCATTGATTATGTAACCTGAACAGGTGACTCAAGCAGTTTTAAAATAATGATTGTTCTGTGGTAGGTACTTTTGATTGTTTCAAACAGTTTTGCTTATAAAAAAACCTCAAGTAATTAATACATAAAAAATAATACAGTCACTAAAAATCATGAAATAATTTATTTTTGTAAAAAAATACAACCGACTTCAGACGCTCTAAAAAGAATGAAATAATTTCAATAAAGTAACCTTTGTATTAGGCAAGCTCGCGTATTTCAAGTCGGCGCGGCTCAAACTGCAAATATGATTGAAATGAAATATTGTGTGTGTATTTTGAAAATCAATAAATTGTAGCTGGATAACATAAATATATAAAAAACATACTGAACTGTTTTGTTTATATATTAAAAGAAATATTTTCTTGTATTTTATGTTTACTTCGGAATAAATGCATTATGAAAATAACACACACGACACAAATGTTCTATATGAATAGGAAAATAATTTAGTTTGATATTATGATAGGGAAAAGAAGCTAGTTTAGTATTAAAACGTTAATTTTCCAAGTTAGAAACATTTAAATGCGTTATAATCTTTTTTAAAGATACTCGTTAATACCACTATAATGCCGATCTCTGATTACGGTAATAAAATAACACTTATCGCATAACTATGAAAAAGACATGCAGATCAACACCTTTAGTTATAGATAGTCACCTGCAA